TCAGTGGCATTAAGTGCATTCACAAAGCCGGGCACAGTGGCTCATACTTGTAATCCCAGCACTTGGGAAAGCCAAGGCAGGAGGACCCTTCGAGCCAGGAGTTCAAGACCAGACTGGGCAATATGGTGAGCCCACATCTCTAAAAAAAAAAGTAATTAGCTGGGCATGGTGGCGTGGCCTGGTAGTCCCAGGACTCAGGGAGGCGTGAAGGTGGGATGATTGACCCTAGGAGGTTAAGGCTGCAGTGAGCCGTAAGCCAGCATTCAGGAGGCTGAGGTGGGAGGATTGCTTGACCCGTAGGGGTCAGAGATTGCAGAGAGCTGTGATCGTGGCACATGCTCCAGCCTGGGAGACGGAGTGAGACTCCATCTCAAAATAAAAAAAAAAGTAAAGGAAAATAGCTGAGCATGGGTGGCTGAGACTGTAATTCCAACACTTTGGGAGGCTGAGGTGGGAGGATCACTTGAGCCCAGGAGTTTGAAACCAGCATAGGCAACATTGCGAGACGCGCTGTCTCTACAAAAAATTTAAAAATTAGCCAGGCCTGGTGGTGTGTGCCTGTAGCCCCAGCTACATGGGAGGCTGAGGTGGAAGAATCATTGGAGGCATAGGAGGTCAAGGGCTACAGTGAGCTGTGATTGCGTCACCCACTCCAGCCTGGCATACAGAAAGACCCGTTTCGATCAATCAATAAAAATGCACTCTTGGCCGGGCGCGGTGGCTCAAGCCTGTAATCCCAGCACTTTGGGAGGCCGAGATGGGCGGATCACGAGGTCAGGAGATCGAGACCATCCTGGCTAACACGGTGAAACCCCGTCTCTACTAAAAATACAAAAAATAGCCGGGCGAGGTGGCGGGCGCCTGTAGTCCAGCTACTCGGGAGGCTGAGGCAGGAGAATGGCGTGAACCGGGAGGCGGAGCTTGCAGTGAGCTGAGACCCGGCCACTGTACTCCAGCCTGGGCGGCAGAGCAAGACTCCGCCTCAAAAAAAAAAAAAAAAAAAGCACTCTAGGAGATCTTCCCAAGGCAGTACACATGCTGGTCACTTGGAATCCCTCCCTAGTTCTTTCCTGCCATGGGTAATATGGATTTGTCTAACCACTCCAACATGAGTTGTTGCAAGCAGTGCTGAGAGGAATATTCCCGTATGTAGCCTGCTTTTGTGTAACTGGGAACAGTGTTTAAGGAAGTGGCCAAATTGTCCCCAAAGAGGTGATTTGCCCACGAACAGGATTTGCACACCTGGCCTTGTACCCTGAATTTTTTTTTTTTTTTTTTTTTTTTTAGACAGAGTTTTACTCTGTCACCCAGGCTGGAGTGCAGTAGGAGATCACGGCTCACTGCAACCTCCACCTCCCAGGTTCAGGTGATTCTCCTGCCTCAACCTACTGAATAGCTGGGACTACATGTGTGCACCACCACACCTGGCTAATTTTGTAGGGACAGGGTTTCACCATGTTGGCCAGGCTGACCTCAGGTGATCCGCCTGCCTTGGCCTCCAAAAGTGCTGGGATTATAGGTGTGAGCTACCACGCCTGTCCTAATTTTTGTATTTTTAGTAGAGAAGGGGTTTCACCATGTCAGCCAGGCTGGTCTTGAACTCCTGACCTCAGGCGATCCACCCGTCTCTGCCTCCCCAAGTGCTGGGATTACAGGCGTGAGCCACCGCACCCAAGTATTTTTCTTTTTTAACCATATCTTTTGTAGTTGTAAATATATCAGAAAAGGCTGAGCTGGCTGTGGTCCATCTGCTGTAAAGGGGTAGAAAGTTCAGCATTGCCTCTGAGAGTGAGGCTCCCAGCCTCCCTCTCTAGGGAGGAGTTCTTTTTCTTCTGTCAGGCCTTTTGGCTCTGTAAAACTAAAGCACAAATTTCATCCAGAAACGGGGTGTTGCATTCTGCATAGCAAGGTAAAAAAAACTGTCTTTGTGTTGATGAAATGGAATCCCACAGATAACAGTTCTCCTGGAGGAGGGAAGGTTGGGCAGCTGCAGCAGGCAGCCAACCCCAGGACTTTGCATCCCTGTCTCCACTGTGTAACTCCAACTGGTAATGGGACTGGAGACCCCAGGATCCCTCAGCAAAAAGACTGCTGACTAAGGAGAAGACTGCTGGGAGCCCCTCCCCAGTTCCCTCCTGTGATAGGTACTATAGGTTCTGGGTCTGTGAGGGGATTTGTGTTTCTGTTATTTTTATTTACTTATTTATTTTGAGATGGGGTCTCACTCTGTCGCCCAGGCTGGAGTGCAGTGGCACAATCTCAGCTTGCTGTGACCTCAGCTCTCTGCGACCTCTGCTTCCTGGGCTCATGCGATCCTCCCACCTCAGCCTCCTGAGTATCTGGGACCACCATCTGCACCACCACACCTGGCTAAGTATTTTGTGTTTTCTTTTTTTTTTAATTTCTAGAGACAGGATCTTGTTATGTTGCCCAGGCTGGTCTCAAACTCTTGGACTCAAGTGATCTGCCCCCCCTTGGCCTCCCAAAGTGCTGGGATTACAGGCATGAGCCACCGTGCTGGGCCTTTTTTTTTCCCCCCAGCCTCAGCAACATAGTGAGACCCGTGATGGTGCATGCCTGTAGTCCCAGCTACTTGGGAGGCTGAGTTGGGAGTATTGCTTGAGTGTGGGAGGTTGAGGCTGCAGTGAGCGGTGATCATGCCACCACACTCCAACCTGGGCAACAGAGACAGGCCCTGTCTCCAAAAAAAAAAAAAAATTGTTTTCGGGACAGTGTCTCAGTGTGTTGTCCAGGCTGGTCTCCAACTCCTGGGGTCCAGTGATCCTCCTGCCTCAGCCTCCCTTGTAGCTGGGACTACACAGCACCTGGCCCTTGTGTTTTTCTTGTAACATTTGCTCAATGCAGAAAACCTGAAAACCACAGAGGAGCACCAGGGGGTGGGGAATGAACATGGAATGATGGGGACCTCTGTCACATTTAAACCAAACAACATCCGTACTTTCATTTCATGCACTAATCATTTATTTGCACTCATAAAAACTGACTTGCTTTGAAAAGCTTCTTCCAAAAGCTGTATTGTGGTACTTTTGACTCTGGGACAAGAGGAAGAAGTTGGGGGATTCAGGCAGTTGGTGGCTGGGCCCTCAGAGACCATATGTGGTGACCACTGTTTAAGACCCCATTCATCACTTGGGGACGGAGGGAGCACATAGATGGACCCCAGGCTCATGGATGTTCCTCCTTCTACAGTCATTTACCAAAATACCCGTTCAAGAAATACAGTTCCAATCTCAGCCTAGTTGAGACAGACACAGGCACTTAAATAAGTACCAAGGAGGGCTCTACAGAGACAGTGCTATTGGAACTGAGTCCTGAAGGCCAAATCAGCCTTGACCAGACCAAAAAATGTGGAAGAGTATTTCAAGCGGTGGGAATAATGCATGCAAAACCTGAAAGCAAAGAGGAGCAGGTCACATCCAGCAACTGGTGACTTGTTTACTAAGGCTGGAGATGAACCTTGGAAGGAAGAAGGGAAGTCAGAAGGCCAGATAATTTGGCAGAGGCTAGAGGCTCTGTTTTACTGAGTTGTTTTTGTTTTGTTTTGTTTTGTTTTGTTTTTTGAGACGGCGTTTCGCTCTTGTTGCCCAGGCTGGAATGCAATAGCGTGGTCTCGGCTCACTGCAACCACCGCCCCCCGGGTTCA